TGACACAAATTTCCGAGAAAGGCAAAACTTCCAATAAATGTTTGAAATAAGCAAAATAGGCCAAAAAAAGCAATTTGCCTTTAATCCGAGCTTTAGTGATAATGATACATGTATATGAATGAACTGGTTTCACATTGAAACGTAGGCTAAGTACTGAAGTAATTGTAGTAAAATATTTTTATCTTTTATTGACGCGGAGTACCAATGAATAACCCTTTTATGCTTGTGTTATTGATATATGTATATATACATATATGGCTGTTGTTGTTTTATCTTTAGACTAAGCAAATGAAGTCATAAAATTAATGGTTTTCAAGACGTGAAACCTGTCCAACATCAGAGGCGATGCTCTTTTAGTTAAGTTGATGCTGGTGTGAGTCGGGGCTTAACAGTGCTAGTAGTAATGGTGTCTCATTATAACAAGTGCGCTACAGAAGTATTGTAATATAAAAATATTACTTTTTTATATCACAATTCCTATATTTTATACATTTTTAATTAACTATATCATTGAAAACCGTATTGAACTATCTATAAAACTCATATAGTTTTCAATGATTTATTTGGATTTCCATCCAGGAACTGCTCTAAAAAGTTTGATGCGATAAGCTCTAAAATACATTTTCTTCTTTGTTAAGACGATTCGAGTCTGATAGAGAACGTCTGGGGGAAATGGAAAAATACCTTATCACATACGTCAATCAGCATAGTTTTCATTCTCTTTGACCTACTGTATATTTTCAAAATTTATTTACTGTATTTCAACAAAATCAAAATATATTTTACATTTGGTGCAAAAAATAGTTACTGGAAAATATCTTCAATTTTTTGTACCTTGTATATCTGCATATAGGAACAAATGGAGCGTCGTTTTTATATAAGAATTGAATTCGTCGCGTTGCTTGTTTTTACTTAGATATTCTCAAATTTACGGTTTTTGCCATTATCCACCCATTATAAATGACCTTACAACAGATCTTCTTTAAGTTATGTCCCATTTTTTCAGTTATTTTCAGTTTTCTGTTGAGAAATTAATTTATGCACATAAATCTGAGTTTTGGTGCATTTTATGGGAAAACTACTTTGGTACATTTGGGACAACACATGTACCAAACATGTGTTGTCCCAAATGAATCACCTTTTTCCAATTTTCTGTTCAAAGATTAGTTTTTACAAATGCAGTCTGCAAGGAGGAAAGAAGAGCTGGAGCACTTTAAACATTGTTTGCCACACCAGTAAGCCCCGCTTCGATACCAGCACTTCAGATAATGTATTAGGGCGTAGCTTTTATGTATCTAATTAACCCCTGGGTGATTACGAATAGTCGAATTCCACCAGTAGCGTCTTTATGGACATTCACGTATTTTTAAGGTCTAAATTTAGGGTCATCGGATCATAGGAAATACGTTCCGACTTTTGTGAGGTTTTTAGGTTCGAATATTCGATATTTTTGCTGATGAGTTATTAGGTGATATTTGGGATTACAATTAACTGGTTAACATCAGAACATCGCATTTGATAATGATTTCCGCTAATGCAAGCGAAACGTCCGGTTGTGAAAATCCATAGTTTTTAGAAAAATCTTATTTTAGGAACGAAATTATGTCTATTTGGGAAAAATGCAAATAATTACCAGGCTGCCATTCAATTTAAGGTTTATTAGTGTGTTTAGGCGATTTAGACATAAGACGTAAAACTTTGCGAATCTACCGGCGGGAGGTTTTCAAACGAATACGATATATTCATTTTTCAATTTAATGTTTTTTTTTAACGCATATGCAATGAGTTCGTTGTAATAAATGTGTTATTTGATCATGTAAATTAAATAAGATATTTTTGAATTCTAACCATAGGATTGTTTGGATTGTTTAAAAAGAGTGAGTATAAGCTTGCTTTTTTACTTCTCTATGTTCAATGTGTTTTCAACCTCAACTTTCTGATCTTAATGGAATATGTATATATACCCCTCCCCACGTAAATATATCTGCTTACATGAAACTATATAAAGAGTTCTATTTATTTTAACTTGCTATTTATAATTAAGTGTCTTGCTATGTAATGCTGTGCCGTTGAATCCACCGGATATTAACAAATTGCTAATGACTTATTTCGATTGAGTGTTTAATTTATATTCCAAATTAATTTCATGTTCAAATATAAGATTAACTTTGGTTTTCTATCTTTGCATTGTGGTCAAAGTAGAAATATCTCGTAATTGGGGGCATATCAATATCTGCCTGGTTGTTTGTTATATTCCACAAAATTACACGTAGTGAATGATAATTAAGAATTATTTATGGATGGTCTTGCATGTTCTGTAATTATTGCATCTATTTATTTTTTTATTCTATAAAAGAAGCGAAAAGCTCAGCTAGGTTTAGCTATAACACATTCCCTCTAGTGCTTTTAACATTCGTTGTTAAATTAATTGAGATAAGTAATTGAACAATCTGCTTGCTTAGAATTCTAGAAGCGACCACTGATCTCTAATAAATCATACTGATTGATTGAATGATTACTAATTTGATAAATGTTGTCTGTCATATGTATAACTTCATAATTAACTTTGTCTGATGTAATTCCCTACAGGAAATAGTCTAACGGGAAGTGATAAATCGATGGGCAATGCCGCCGCGTTTTTTATGAGAAACAATTATATCAGAAGAGGACAAGTTAATCAGGAGCATTTTGATCTGTTGGAATATCCATTTTTAACAATGACCAAGTTTCCGCCAAGATTTATAATTCAAATCGGTGAGAAACGTTTTCACTCTTAACTCTGGGGTACATTCTACAAATATTTCAATATTTTTAGGCGGATCAATAAGCGCTCGATCTGTTAAATTACTGGAAAGAATTTTAAATGTCGATGAACCAGAATCCAGAGATATATGGTGGTCCGAAATACGAATGGAAATTCGCTCACATGCAAGAAGTCTTAACTGTAATGCAGTTTTGGGTTACACAGAGCTAACTACCATATGGTATCGTTAATTTATAGTATATATAAAAATGCTTTAACTAAGTTCCCTTTCAATAATTTTTAAATAATATACTAACGCAAAAGCAACTAAGATTAGTTAAAATGTTGCCTTTAACACACCACGAGATGTGTACAAGTGCTAAACATTGTTTGGTCTGCATTAAAGCCCCGGACGCTCTATACGATCTAAAAAGCGCTTTTTATTGCCGAAGAGAGGCAGAAGGTAGACGAGGCCTTTTGTTGGAGAGACAGAAAAATTTTAAATATAATTTAATCAATTTTGAAAGTGACGCTCCAATTACTGTTTAGGAACTCTAATTGGAAGTGCCGGTTGGATAGTTACTTCTTATTTCGTTTTGATCTAATTAGTTAAGAATAAAAGAGAGTTTAGTGATTTGCAGCCTTTGTCTTTCTACAGGCATTGATGGGTTTGCCTTGTTTTCTTCGGCTATTCTCAGTTTAGGTATTTCATTAAAAACAACGTTGTTTTGCTTCGATACTTAATAACTAATTAAAAAAATTGGAAAAAATTGCTACTCAAAGTTGAAGCCAGATACGGACCTGCCCTTGCTTTGCTTATAAAGAGAAAAATGCACCCGATTCCACAAAAAAACTTGCTTTCGAATAGGAGTTTTCCTGAATTTTTGGAAGTCGATGGAAAATTTGGAATCGCTTTCAGACTTTACAGAAATTTTCAAAACATCGCCACTCAAGATCGAAGCCAGATTCAGACCTGTCGTTGCTTTCGTTACAAAGAGACAAATTCATCCGATTCCATAAAATACCTGCATTTAAATCGGGGTCTTTCTGAATTTTTGGGATTCGATGGAAACTTTGTTTTCGCTTTCAGATTTCCCAAAGAGAAAATTTAAAAAATTGCCAATAAACATTGAAGCCAGCTTTTTATGTGCTCTTATCGGCAAATTGATTTATATTGCTCTAGTTCTTTTTGCAAGAAAACATTTTCTAACACCATCATTTACTGAGCGTTGGTTGCACCACTCTGGTTAAAGCAAGCGGAGGAAGAAGGAGCAAAAGGAAATTTTAATGCCTTCTTATTTCAATATCAAAAGTGAACTTTAGTTGATTAAAAAATATAACTGTAATAAATTGAGAAGAGAAGCAGGGTTACACAAACAAATAACACATAAAATGTATGCCTCAATTTTCTGATGTACATTCGCTCTTTTTAGTGACGACGTATGTGTGCTGAGCGCATGTGGCACTGCTGCTGTTATAGATTTCAACAGCTCAGCTGGAGATGAGGATAACTTTTCAAGTGTCCAACTGATCCATAAAAATGTGGAGCGTGACAAACAAGAGGTATAGTTTATTATTTTTATAATAATGGCTACAATTTCCTAAAAAATAGACTTATAAACCTAGATTAAAACAATATTAATAAATATAAAAATGAATCTTTTATTTGGTGCCTAAACTAAGTTATTTCGATGATTTGGTAAATCCAAAAAGCTGAATCTGAAATATTTGATTGAAATATCCATGCTACAAGAAGTATGAATTCAACAATTAAAGCGCTTTTTAAAAATATTTTCTCATCGTTGGTGGTTATCAATGTTTTTTTTATTCGTTTCCTTCCTGATGTAAAAGTTTATGTGTGGTACTCGTGGAAAATAAGCAGCTGAAATCAAATATGTCTTTCGTTAGTTTCGTAAGTTTTTGTGGTTTTTTTACTTTTATCAATCAAACTATTGGATATGCAGTACTTCGCTGCGCTTATACGTATACTTTGCATTTCCTTAATGTTGCGAAATATTCGAATGCGTTTACTTATATAAAAAACAGAAAATACGTAATTTATTGGCACCGGTAAAATTAAAGGTAGAATATTCCTAAAAAATTTAAACTTAAAAAAATCATTGTTTCCATTTCAAATATAAAAATACATTTTACAGCTATGTTTGTTTTGTATGATGTTCTTATCTTATTATATATACGAGAGTTTCATTACAAAAGCGAGCTTTTTAGATATTTGAATTAGTTTATATGTTTTGTACCGCGGATATTTCGGTTAAATTAATAAGTAAATATGATCTTTAAGGCATTAATATTAAACCTATGCCTATGAAAACGAAGGCAGATACGAAAAAACTACAAGAGATAAAAAAAGTCTTCAATTGGACAACAAATTCAAAACTTTGTTCAGTCGAAGTCAGTGGCGCACCACAAAAAGTCGACTTGTTTTGAGGTCCTCTACACGTCCCTGCTCTATGTCCATAAGGTTGTGAATCACCCTGTATATATATAAATTTATTTTTAGAATGGACAAAGCCGACCTATACAGGACAGTCCTCATCATAAAACATATTCAGCACATTTTTGCGCAGTCACCCATTTGCCTTACGATGAAAAAACCGTACCAGTAAAAGCGAAAGTCACCAAATGTCCAATGTGTCTGTAAGTAACAATTCAGCATGCTTTTTTAGGTACAGTAACTCAAAACATGTATTTTAATTTCAGTAAGGCGAAAGTACCAGAAGTTATAATAGCAACAATTGAACCGCCTGAGTCACTCCCAACTATTGGCAAAGGTTGTTTTATAGAATCTCATGTTTCACGGCCTTTAAAGGACCTTCGGGGAGAAGCTATAGCTAAAGAAATATCTGATGGTTTGCCGTTCTTAGAATACGAACTTCACCGTTTGTTGGTCAATAAATTGAAAATAAAAGGAATGAATGCTATATTTAGTCTTAAAATTCGAATTACTGTCGGAGAAAAACTATTAGTTGGAGTAGCTACCGGCACGGCAGTCTATTTATCTTGTTTGCCAACTCCAGATTTACCAGTATTAGTAACTGGCAAAGATTCAGATGGGAAAGTGGTAGCTGACCTACAAGAAATGCTGAGCCAAACGGTCAAAAAAAATAAGGAAATTTACCAAATTAAGGTAAATACATAAAAGATAAATAATTGCTGTAGCAATAGGCCACATTAATGTTGTTTCAGAGCGACAATCAAGCACAAAGCACTTTATCAGATGAAGATTCGGACACAGAACAGACTCCTTTAGATATATCTTGCGGGAACAAAGACTGTTGCATCTTGGAGGTAAGAAACTTGTTGAAAAGTACTGAATATATTGCACGGGTGCAATTTTTCAGATGGACGACCCAGAAGATGCCGAAGTTCTGAGACTGTTGATACAAGAGAAAATTCCGGACGGAATTCACGTCGTCAGTACAGAATCTGTTCCTGGCCTTGAAGACTTGGAAATAGTAAAAAACCTTCAAATGTTTACGCAAATTTACAGAGCAAAACTACTGCCGCCATATGACCTACAGAAGCACTTTGTGAGACTTTTGCAAAGCATATACTTTAAGTTACGCAGGATGGTTCCATGCGCTCTGTGTGATTTGCAATTTAGGATTGACATTCCGGAACCCGATGAAATTCAGCTGTGTGTTATTGGTAAATAGTGTTTTTACTTTATTCTTTTACATTTTTACTCTATTACTAACTGGATCGTTCAACATAATTTATTGCATCCGTATTAGTTAAGTTCAAGAAAAAAAATCGATATTTAAGATTTCGTGTAAACGGTAGACTAACTGGCACTTTTTCGGTGCAGCAAAAGTCAAATCAAGGACGCATTTTTTGAACATTGAAAATTTTTCCTGAACAAAGTTGTCCAAAAAGTTGTTAATATTTGGATGTGATGCAGCAAATTTGGTGGAATGGATAGAAAAGTGAGATCGGTTTTGAACGTTAGTTTGGCTTTGGGAAAATTATTCAGCACGCATCGATACACGGGGGAGCGTTTTTTGGGTATCCACGAGCAATAACAATTCCGCCGCTAATGCGAGCTCTGGATTTGAAAGAAAATATTGGCGCGATCTACAGCAATGTCCAAAACTTCAATTAATTGAGCAGTTGGCTCTTAAATTTCAGCAAATAGGTTATAAATATGCAGACGTGAGATCGCCCGTGCGTCAGGAACCCAGTTGATGCACTCGAAGGCGCGCTGCTCGCTTTAATTTGTCCAGAACATTGTCTCACATTCTCCACAAATGTTTGAGTTTCTGATTTAATAAAAGACGGCTTTAGTCGTGATTGCTATCTCCTAATTATGCAACTTTTAATATCAAATAAATAAAATACTCGCAAAGCCACCACTTCCTACTTACGCCAATCATTAATCAAATTATTGCGTTAAGGTAGGGACTATTATCTTTTATTAAGTCCCAATAACTCGACAATGAATACACATGTCTAAAGCTGCGTGATAATGTGGTGGCGCTAAATCTTAGTTAGACAATTTACTAAAAAATATTTCATACAATTAAATTTGATAATGAAACCTTGACGCGTTGGAAGATGCGAGGCGAAGTAGCGAATACAACTCAAGTTAATTTCGTATGTATACCATCGTCAAAATCAGATAAAATTAAATTTATTAAATTTGAGTAAACGAAATATCGAAGTATTCGAACGTTTGAATAAAACTAAAAAATGTATTTTTGGGATCTCTCCCTCTCGTTAGTCAAAACCAAAAAAGCCTCAGGACCAAATTGACTGAAATTTGCAATTTTAGATCCGATTCTGATATACTACAATTATATAGAACACTTGATTTTGGTTACATACACTATACATTTTAGGTCTTCCATAAGCACGGAATTAAACTTGAAATAAATAACCATTGCATATTGATCCAAAGAAACATATGTGTCTTCAAAAACATTTTCAGTTTTCTTACAAAAATTCCTGTTGAGAAACAAATTGGTTACAGCATACAATACGTAGACGTATTTTCAACAGCTAAAGTAGATTCAATCTTTTAAGGTTTCGCTATTCCTATCGTGACTTGTTATGAAGTGGAACTAATTTGAATCTGGGTCAAACTTGTTTGTTTCAAAAATTTCAAAGTTTTAAAAATACATTAGTGCTTGTACTTGTGAATATTTTTAGGTATGGCGTTGGGTTTGGGTAGGAAGACCCAGATAGTTAAATCTAAAATAGTGCCACCAAAACCAGGTAAGGAACCAAAACATTTAATGTATTGTTACTGACTGGGTTGCCATTACAGACGAAGATTTAATTTTTAAACTTGAGGATTGTCAGAATCAAGAAACTATACAAGCTCCTATCAGTAAATCCAATCAATCCAGCCAGAAGTATAGAAGTAATCGTTCGCCCTCTAAGTATAGGCCACAATCTGTGAAACAACGACATGTAATATATTTAGATATCAATTTGCCTACGAATATATGAAATTTATTTTCAAATTAATAGGTGCCTGGTATTGAACGACATGGAGTAGACATAACTCCCTTAAGCTATGTACCGGGAGGAAATATTGAGCAATATCTAGGAAATATAAATTTTTTCTTTATTCGTGAAACCACTTCTATAAGAGAGGTAAGAATGATAACCCACGCATGAGAACATTATTAACAATTTTCAATATTGCTTTCATTTTCAGGAAGGAGGTTTAAGTGGCTTTATCCACAGTTTCGTCACCGAAGTTCTAGCGATAGTGAGATCCCACGTTACAGCATTGGGAGGCAATGCATTAGTTGCTTTCTTTATGACCGAATGTGTACTTAATCACAATTTACATAAAAACCAGGTACGTATCTAACCATTACCATTTTGTATTATTGAAAAACCTTACAAATGAGCGTTTTGCAAGTTTTCTACTATTAAACTTCCTAGGAAACATTTTCGCATAGTTTTATCATTTTTGGATTAGTTGATGCATTATTAAAATTACTTATTAGTTAGGAAAACTGCAAAAATTCAGCTGGAAGAATTTACAAGTTCATAGCTTCCGTACAGCGGAAGCAACAAAGTTGGAAAAAGTTCGTTCTTTCGTTGTTTTTAATTATAATTAGTAAAATAAATCACCAATCCGTTACACAAAGTTATTTTGAGATGAACTGTCAGTCGACTTCGTCTAAATATTCAATACTCTCTCCTAATGTAAGATCCTTTCACGTGAAAAGAATTCATAATAATCTCCTATAGTGTTGGGATAACCAGTATGATGCCTTGCTTAAAGTTGAGAGTGCACTTGCCGGAAATTGGTTTATAAAAAGTGAAAAAGAATATTTCAAGAATGAATCACTCTGATTATGTTAAGGTGTGATACGAGGTATAAATTTCACAACGTCAGAATGAAGTGACGTTACTTATTTCTTAATATCAAAAGTGTTTGGAAATGTAGTTTATCTGAAGAATCATTCATTATTTAGATGAATCGGTATCAATCAATGTTAAATATTAAATGGCTAGAAAATTTCACCTCTGAATTCTCTGATTGATTACATTAAATTACATTTTTACTTTCAAGGAATTTAATCATAGAATGTTCTAGCTAGTGCTACAGCAACAAAGTGATTTTTAGTAAGAATTTTTAGGAAGAATAAAAAGGCGTATTTTTTTTATTAAAATACTCATCGTTTGAAAATTAATTATCTTTTCAAAGAAATACTAGACACGTCAGATACAAGATAGCATCTTCATTAAATTTTATGTAGGGTGCGTTTTTAATAAAGAATGCGATGCAATCATCTTAGCAAATGATTTGCCATTTTAATTAACATTTTCCTTTTACGCATGATTTGTCTGTCAGAAACGAAGCGAAATTAGGATGGGAACATGTTTTTGTGACATTTTTATTTAATTATAACATGTATTTTCCGCTTCATTCATAAACGCAATCAACATTTTAGTAGCTCTGTTTTTTATCTTCTACATTTAGAAAAATATCTAGGGACAATAAGCGTTTGGGGTAAATATATACTCATAATAACATTGAAAATATTTGTATTTTTAGGGACAATGTCTTATTAACGTCGGCGGTGATGTGGTGGCAGTGGCATATTTCAAAGACGAAGCATAATATTCGCAATTCGTTTTATTAATTAATACGTTAGTATCGCAGGTTAAGGCGAATTTAAATTATTGTTTACAATAGCAATAATGTCAAATTGTCTTCATACATGTGTACATTTACCCCAGATAAATTCGTTTTACATGATGTTCACACAGATTCGTTGTAGATACTTACCGTAGTACACATATTTTTACGACTACGAGAACCGCAAAGATCAGAATTCCGATCAAACAAAAATTTACCCAGCAAACGATTCGTATATTAACTTGTTAAAAAAAAGGTACACTTTATTTTATAATATGCTCATCGACTGAAGCAACACAACAGTCACTTTTCTATTTTGAAAGCAATAATTCCTAAACAGAAAATAGGATTAGTTTTGATTAGACTTTGATTTTATCTTGAGGAAGACGTGAAGTTGCGAATAGTAGACTTGACAAAAGTACCTTCATTTATCCATACTTCACGGCTCGGTTATAGATAGTCTAAATTGTTTTATTTTTGGAAATTTTTTTTGGGGTTGGGATTTAAACTTGTTCAATATAAAGCATTGCTGATCTGACCAATGTACGGCTATACCGGCTGTCTGATATTTAATGTATGGCTTTATTATCTTAATAAGTTAGAGTATTGCAAGTACAAGTAAAAATGCTCTCTGTCCATGAACTCATTGTAAAGTATATGTATGCGATATCATCTGGTCTAAGATTTTTTTAAACTATTTCTAAACCGGGCATATAAAATATCTAATGAATCCCGATGTCAAGGAATGTAGGCTTTCACGGACGGACGAATAGTAAAATATTGTGCATCCGGTTTTGCAACCCTACAAGACCGGAAAAACAATATTTCACTATTGAATCTGGCTAGTTTAGTGCCTAATATGCTCATTTATCACATGTTATATTTTGAATTATTATTATTAAGTCGCCCATCTCTGATCTGTTCGTTTCAGTTTTACAATTAATAGCATCTCAAGTCTTAAATAATAATAAAATAATGATATTTGATTTCTGATTTATAATCTGCGATTTCTTCAAGTTACATTCATTTTTCAAAAATTTAATATATTTTTTTAAATTCCGGTCCAATATGTTTTTACCGTAAAATTAAAGCCAATTATATATAGTATGGAGTATGGAATGTTGGATAGATTAATTATTGTCCGTGAATTTTTATTGATAGTTTATAATATAGTGAATATATTTTTATAATTAATCCTTATTAGTAAGTTAAGAACAATTGTGGTTTTGTGTTTAATAATATTTATTCCACATCCCTATTTTTTTAAATTTAGTTTCAACATTTTTTAGCTATTAGAGACCATAATAACAAAAAAGTATTCGACAGTGCTTCCAAGCAGAAACTCGGATCTGTATTAATTAATTGATTCTTTCACGGCTATTTTTATCTGTATTATAGTCAATAGGACTGTGTCCTAAATGCCTGCAAAGAAACATTTTCGCAATAAATATAAATGATAATCAGTATTTATTTCAGAAATTGGAAAATAACAAGAAATTTTTCAGAAAATACGGCATATGTGCCTTTGATAATTAGTACGCTATAAAGTACTTTGGTTTCTATTATAATTATTGCGTTTTGCAAAAAAGTATGTTTGCGATTTACGGTAAACTCAAGCTGTTGACTTAAATAAGTTTAAATTTCCCATTTTTTAGCCAACTCTTCAAAACTGTTAAAAGACCAATCTGACAATTGTTAAATCATGCGTGTGGAAACAACGGTTTGCCTATTGTCGTCCGGGTTGATTTTGTGTCATTAATTTGTCCAATGTACGTACTTAATTGTTCAATATTCATTACGCTTATTTGTTTATAACTTATTGAGCTTTCAGCCAACCAAACTATTATACTATTAATATACCCATCAGTCTAAATATAAGGTAAACTCTTTGCTCAACATACGCTAAGAAATTATTGTTATCGTGTCTTAAGATCGGCAATTTTTTAAATTATATTCCCTATAAAAGCAATAAATATTTAAATGAAAACATTGACGCATTAAATCGCTAACCACGCGTTCGTTAATTTTTGAAAGTATGTTTTCACATTAGTTAGCTTCGCTTTGATTATTTAGAAGCTGTAGTTTTACGCAATATGCGTTGAATTTTTATTTAATTTAAAAATACGTTTTTAGGTTTTGACGACATTTACTGCTTTTGTCGAATTTTAAGTGATTGATGAGAGTAAATCGATTTTAATAGAACAGAAAATGCAAGTTTTTCATAACACGAATAATACATTTTGGACTACTAACGGTAAATCAATGTGCCTGTAATGAGTAGTGCAAAAAAGAACGGCTAAAGCTTGTATTAGAGAGCGAAGCAAACACGTTGGTTTTAATAAACTATAATTTGGAGACAGTAATTACTATACTGGGTGTTTGGAAGACACGGAGAGCGGATCTATTCCAAATCGATTGTGACAAACTGTTCATAGGGTGAGGACAGTAAAAGTTCGAATATTTTTATTTTAATATTTCCTGATCGAGGTAAACTTGGTATTTTTCAAAAACCGTTTAGTGTTAAAACATTTTCGTTTACAATTACACATTTTTGGGATCTTGCAGAGTCTGAATTATGGTTATTATTGGTTTATAACAGATTGAGCCTTTTTTCGCAGGTTATCAAAACGCCAATTAGTTTTGAAGCGTGAGTAACAAATAGCTTAAAAGATTTTCGATCATTCTTCATGGTTTTATTTATATAAATTTTGATATGAAAAACTGCTCCTGAACAGTTGCATTTTATTGAAAAATTCAATTGGGAAATCGAGTCGTATCAGATAGATATTCGTAATATTAGAGAGCGGTGACTTCTAGGGCTCAACTTACGTTTTTAACTTTACAAATCATCCCGCATGTTTTCAAGATTTCATATTTTTTAACTTCTTGGTCCATTTGCGTTCCTTAGAAGTAAAATTCGAACTTAATATAAAATATTGGAAAATATGTCCAGCGATTTGCGGGGCCAACTTTACTTTATTTTCCGAACCGTTGCCGAGATGCAGCCTAAATTATATTTGTAAATTATTTATGAATGAAAGTGCTTTCTTCGAGGCCTAAGCGGACAAATTATTTTTTAAAATAAGAAAATTTTACTGCTTTCGGCCAGATTTGAATTTGCGACCTCCATGATGCTCTACCAACTAAGCTACAAAAGGCTTAGCGGGTAGAGCTTTTCAAAAAATTTTTTGTCCGCTTACGCCGCGAAAAATTCCCTTTCATTTAGAATTATCGGACACAAAAAACTCTTCATTTGTAATCTGAAATCTCAAAATAATTTTTTGAACTCGACACCAAATTTTTGCAATTTCAAATCGGTACTTTCTTTCACACAAAAACAGTGGTTTGCATTTTGAAAGAAAATCGAATCTGGTTTACAATCGTAGACACAAACCGCCACGCTGCGGCCTAAATCCAACGTATTTATTATGTTTCTAATACAGGTGTTAGGAGTTTTGCTTTACATTTGCATGTATGTAGCTGGTTTAATAGTCGGCCGCTTTCTTCGATCACAAATACGCTTCAAATTTATCTGACTTGAGTATAAAACTCTCGTTTCTGCCTCCAATGCTTTGCTTCGAAGACCGTAACATGTTATAGAGTTTTAGAGAATATAATTCTCTATAACTTCTTATTAATATTATAATTTAATGGTTATTGCTATTTATTTTTGTTTGCAAAAGCCTTACTTTATATCGCAGGTAAATATTGTCTGAGGAGATGGCAGTTGTTTTGTAATTGTTATCGAATGCTATACAACAAATCAAATCGTGTTATGGGAAAACTGTATTTGCTTATTTCTAACAATAGCTAACGGTTTGTCAAACTTGCCTTTTGAGCTTTGATGTATGTACATATATGTAATGGATACTTTTTACGAGTATTTTGTTACACAAATGATTTACTTTGGTTGTGAACGCGTATTAGATTATGAATTTGAGTTATTTTGTTTATCGAAACTGAATTTTCTTTGTACAATAAAATTGATATTGTTTTAGCATATCATTGGTCTTATTTTTCCTTTTCTCCTCCAAACAGTATAGAGTTACGCTGATCCATTCCTCGACAGGTATTGGATTTGATTAGTGAACCTACGCATTTGCGTAATACATATAATCTCAACACATGCCTCCGCTATAATGTGTACTTTTCCCGAAGTTCTAACAACACTGCGGGTTTAAACGAGCCCAAAAAAGTAACCGTTTCCTTTGATTTTGATAATTTAATGCTCAGATTGCTCGTTTTGTTTAGCATTTGCTAAATTATCGTCTCCACTAATTGAATTGATGCTGATGTCTTCCAATGTTTTTGTGATTATTAAGAAACATGTACTTACCTTTATATAAAAGCTGATTATTTGCCTTGTAAGAACTAGAAATTGTTTCAGATACAATATTTCCGATTAGTTCAAAAAAACGGTTTGTTTTTACGTTACAATATTATTTTCCTTCCCATGATTTTATTTTAATTAATGTTTCTACAAAAACCACGCTACATTAACTTTTCGGTAGTTTCTTCAGTTTGCGGGGTCATGTTGGTCCAATTACTCCCGTTTTAATAAAACGCCCTAAAAATCGGCACATCAGTGGTACAATTTAAGATAATAAATAGTTTGTGTGATGGTAAACACCAACGCGAATGACTCGCATATTATGAATATTATGCTGCATCAGGTTCTTCACTGTAAATAAAGAAGTAACTCTCTTAATACACGGGTCGGATTTGGTTCATTCGACATTGGTTTTAAAGCGAGTGATTTTGTCTAAAAATCGTATTTTGCAAAATTAAAATCGGTTGAGAAACTTGGAAGTCATAAGAGTTTGAAGGGCAAAAAGGCGATTTTTCAAGACAGATGTTATCAATGTTTGTTGGGAAAGCAACTAATAGTATGGCGAAATTTTCTGCATAACTCTGTTAATATCGGGTCGATTTGGAAATGTTGCAATTTGTTGAAAATCGTACGAAAATTGCAATCGGTTAAAAAACTTGAAAGTTATGATGATTTGAAAAGGTTGGGCAAGTTTGCAACAGTTTGGAAGGAAATCGGCTCTGAATATTGGCAAGCGTAAAACTCTCAAACTTGCACATACGTCCACTCTTTGCCCTGTAATTCGGTCAGTTATTATTTAAATTCAGAATTAAATTCATAATTTTAAAAAAGCACTTGAAACAGTTACCTGTTTTTTTCAGATCAAAATTCTAAAACATACGAAAATAAGTGCGCCATAATTTCAAAAAAGCCGTTATATAAAATTCGCCTCATAAAATCGACAAATCTGCACATGCGAGCAGCGTAAATGCTATCAAAAAAAAACTACAACCCTGGTTGCCATATATTTCTACAAAATTAAATGCTGTACGTAATCCAACAGCCAGCGAATATATCGGACAAATCCTGGCCGCTGAAATTTCCTAGCAAGAATCGTTTGGAAACAATAATTGGCAAAAACAAGCCAATATTTAAATAAGTAGTCCTGGATCACTTGCATCTTAAGGCGCTATCCGCTAAACAATCACAAAGCAATAAACAAGTTCCACTTTGAGTTTTTTTTTTTTTTCCAGTTTGAGAATCTTTTATGAACACCAAGTTTGTATCAAAATCATGTTTTATGTAATAATTTATATTTAATAATACATCTATAATAAAGGTTTT